TCATCGGTGTCTCCCCCCGCGTTCCCCGTGCACTTTTCTGGTGGAGACTCCAGTTTTGAAACTGCAGTATGGTATATCGTGCTACTGCCTGCCTGTTGACAGTTTATGAATACTGCCCGGTTATTCTGTTGTGGCTGATGGACTTCGGCCCAAATATCCATGTCAAATTTCCGTCTACACTTATATGTCTCAAATAGACTGATCTACTCCAAGTTAGCGATTAATTTCTGGGAAAATTAAAAAGCCACAATCTTAATTTCGCCCTCTCAGTGTTCATCACTTCTGGCTGTTAGTACGCACAGTATTTGTTAACTATTTCCAATACGAAGCATATTTTCACAGTACCAAATTGTTAGCAGCATTGACGACGGCGATAGGCTTTGGTGAACATGGCTTTGGAGTTGAAATGGCATTCCGCGGCGTATCATTTTAAAAACAAGCAGGTCGGCACGTTTGAGTCATAATTTCTAATAGGACCCCGCAGGACTTATAGGTTAATCCCTTAAAATCAACTCAGCCTTCAAAATTAGGTTTATAATTGCCGTGCAAAGCAATTAAGGGGGACATTAAGGCCTCTCAAACAGTTACTCCAGCTTGTCGTTCAGTCGAACTCTTAGGTTTGATTCTGTCGTCGGCTGGTCTCGAGAAGACGATAAGCGGCGTATTACTGACAATAATTGAGTAGCATGTGTTGCTACGTCGTGGCTACTAGACCCGTATCGTGATTTCCAGCCCAGATGTCACCGCGCCTTTTAACATTTGATACTGCGACAGTATTGTTTTAAATCAGGTTTGGCGAGCTCTAGCCTATAATAACGATCTTCCATTTATTTCTCCGCATTCACAACAGGGAAAGGAAAGGTAAAATCTATTACGCCAGCAGAAGCCAGTAACCTGTCTGAATAAATCCCGGGGAAGGTTATTCCAGCCAGTGAGCAGCCTCTGTCTGAGACGACCGGGTGGTCTGGCTTGACACGAGGACTCCTACAAAGGGTGGGTGGCCTTGAGGCATCCCCGTCTGTGTGTGAGTTAGGCGTGGAGGCAGCAGAATGCGTCTCCCACGCGCTGCGGCCCCGCGCCGCCTGGGACGGTCGACGTGCGCAGCTGACGCGGCCGCATCAGCCTGTGACTCATCAGCATCTCTGTCCGTGAGTGTCACCGGGACACAAGCGGCCCCGGAAGCCTCACCATGGCCGCTGCGGACGAGGCCAAGGACCCAATTAGGTCATACCCAAAGCAGACAGACCGGATGGAGAGTAGATGGAG